TATATATATATATATATATATATATATATATGTATGTATATTTGCGTGTGTGTGTGTGTGACTTCGTGCAAGCTGTGAAAACTTCTGGATTTGTATTGCACCCTGATAACAAATAAAATTAAAAACAACAAATTACAAACAGTAATTGTTATCACTGTTTCGTTAATGTGCCAGTCGCCTAATTGGATTAATTGTTGCAACATATATAATTCGTAATTATATCCTGAGGTTTGACCATACAACAATTTATAATTGGAGTATACTACTGCGGTGTATGACATACTCCATAGGTGTGCGTGAAATACACACACGCACACGTATATATATGCGTAAAAAAAAAAAAATGTATATATGTGTGTGTGTATGCATATGTATATATGATTACATATATGTATATATATATATATATATATATATATATATATATATATATATATATATATGCATACATACATATATATACACATATATACATACATACATATATATGTATATATATAAATCTATCTATATGTGTATGTATATATGTATATGTATGTATATATATAAATATATATATACGTATATAAATACATATATACATACTAATGAATATATGTATATATGTAGATGTATATATACAATTATGTATATATGTAGATGTACATATACATGTATATATGTTTATACACACAGCATGCTTATATATACACATTTATATATATACACATATACATATATACATACATACATATGCATAAATACATATATATGTATATGTATGTGTATATATATGCATAATCGTGTATATATGTATATATATACATATGTGCATATATACATATATATTTGTATATATACATATATACACATATATGTATATATGCATATATATATGTATATATATATATATATATATATATATATATATATATATATATATATACATATATGTATATTAAAATGATAAACAGGCAAGGCAGGAAAAAACTGTTAAAAATTATAAAAATCATAAAATAAGCGAAACACAGAGAAAAATAACCGAAACAACAAGATGGGTTTTACAAAAGTAAAACACACCATAAAGAACTAAACAGTTAGTTACGGTCACAGGACTATACTGTAAATAGCTGTGTGGCTGTTGTATTGTTGCCATCAAGATTATATTCGGTCCTGTATTCAAAGGGTATGGTTATCTTAGCATTCCAAATTCATTCCCTAAAGGAAGATGTTTCATTAAAAGCAGAATTTTCACAGGATGGATTAGTGCGGTTGCAACACCAATCAAATTTTCGGATGCACTAATTGTTCTCGACGGCTGTCATGACTCTAGTATTCCCACTGTCGCAGTTACCTCAGTTATAAATGTTAGCCTCAGGTACAATTAAATTGTGCGAACTCTACGACAGAAAGTCGCCGATATTCACATATCATTATATCACTAAATATTTTCTTTCATTTGTGGTAGCACTGTGGTCCGATTTAGGTTAAGGCAATTGGTTGAAAAGGGAAACTAATTATTGAGGCAATCATAAACAGAAAACCCAAACGCTTATGACAAGATGTCATAAAAACACGAATAATTTACCTTCGGGTCTTTTCTGGTGCGACTAGCCTTTTACTGCACAGTATCATCAGTATGAATACGCAAAGATCTTCACCTTCACCTTCCTATTGCATGAGCGTGTGGGTGTATGTATGCGTAGAAAGAGAGAGAGAGAGAGAGAGAGAGAGAGAGAGAGAGAGAGAGAGAGAGAGAGAGAGAGAGAGAGAGAGAGAGAGAGAGAGAGAGTGTGTGTGTGTGTGTGTGTGTGTGTGTTTGTGTGTGTGTGCGTGCGTGCGTGGACGTGCGCGCATGCGTGGACGTGTGCATGTATATGTGTGTACGTGTACGGGTAAGCATGCATGTGTGCGGGTGTTCGAGTGTGGGAATATATGGGTATATGCATGTGTACTTGTATGAGTACATCCGTGTACGTGTAAGTGTGCACGTACGTGTGAACAAGGGTAACTATGTAAGGGCTTATTCGTGTGTACGTGAGAGCTCACGAAAATAATTACGTGTAAGCATACGTGTGCCCATGTGCATAAAGAAAGTACTTAGTACATTTGCATATAAAGACTCGTTCATCAGCTATTTCTTTAGAAATATCACTTTGTGTATCATGAGAACACATTGTTTGGCCCACTACTGCCGAGTCATATAGCCTTTGTAATTCTAAATGTTTCTCTCTTAGAGTACTTCAGTTTATTGAAGACAAACATAAAGAACAGAAAGTAAAATCGGAAAAAAATAAAAGGGTGAAACACCAGTGGTGTTTTACTGGGAGAGTGGGAGTGTACATACGCACGAACCAATATAATTAGGTCACTGTTAAAATCCACTGTCGAAGGGAGTCCGTTACAAAAACACAAAATGCGACTATTTGCCTTCCTGGCGAACCCCAGACTGCCCTCTCTCTGTCTGTCTCAGGTGTGTCTGTGGCATACTTCCCCCAGGTGCGCATCCACGCTCTCGCGGCAATTATCCCCTACACTCCGCCCGTTGTCGTTCTGCGCAACTATTTGTGCCTTATTCCTAAGTGTTTAAAATGCTTCTTTTCTTGTTTTTTTTTTTCTCACAATTTGTATGGTGGTTATATATTTAACCATGCTGCCCTGCGCAGGTGCCTTCGTCTGCAATTCTTCCTCATGCCTTTTGCAGTGCTGTTGTTTCGCTTCGTTGTTCTAATTATGCTATGGCTGTAATTTCTCCTGTGTCCATATTGTATTGCAAATCTGATCACTACACCACGATTGTTGTGGCTGTTGAAACTCATTAATCTCAGTCCAAATCTATTATGACACTACCTTCCCCTGAATTCTCAGATCTAAATACAACTAAAAATCATCTAAAACAGGAACAACAAAACTGTCCAAGTCTAAGATTCATAAGGGAGAACATTAAAAGCGGCAAAAATGTAAATGTAAAATCTGTAAAATATGAACTTGTCAATGATCTCATCTACAGGGAGTATTTAAAAAGCAAACATGAATCTGAAATCAGGAGCAAGCAACTGGTAATTCCCGAGAAGTATCGGATTCACGCATTGAATCTCTCACAATTCCCTCACAGCTGTTCATTTCTCACAAGAAAGATGTTCTTTTGGCCCGGTGCAGGTGCTCAGATTAAAAGTTAGGTCGATCATGTCCAACTTGACTGAAATTTTCAGCTGAAGGAAGTGTGAGAAGACTACCTACGAAAAATCTCCCATAATTTCGGAACTATTTTACCGAGGGAAATCTTATCACATCGAGGGTCTCAATCTAAGTCAGATCTAATGGGTGAAATCCATAGATAACACTCTGGAAGAGTCTTGTACACGAGTCCCTATCATGCTTTGTGTAACACTGCAATCGAAAGATTAAATGATTGAATATGATGAGTGCTTAAAAAGCTTTGTGCCGATCACCCGAGATCGTTTTATACCTGCAGCACTGTTCGCAAATAGGGAGATTACTAATGGCATCCTTAAGTTTTTACCCTTTGAATTGTTTTATGGCCGACAAGTACGCCGTCCTTTGAGAATTCTGCACGAGCTATGGACAAACGATAGTACTGATAGTGAGGTTAAAACTACGTATAAATAGTTTTTTTTTTTTTTTTGTCTTTGCTTGCATTTGGAAGAAACTGATGAATTAGCAAGCTGAAATAAGTAACCACAACTATAAGTCATAGTATGACCTCAAAGCTAAGCTTCATAAATTAGACATAGGTGATTGTCTGTATTGTATGATTGCCTTCTAGCAGTAACAAATTAGTTATGCAGTGCCTTGATCATTAGCCAGTTGTTAAATGCAAAGGGAATGGTGTCGATTATGTAATTAAAATTCGCGGAAAGAATAGGCTGTGTCATATTAATATGTAAAAGAAGTACTTTCATCATGGTGGTCTTTAAAGAAAAGGGGAAACTGTTCAAGTGTGTGTGGTTGAAGAT